GCCGGGTAGGCTCATATGGAAGGAGGCGGTCCTTCAAGTATCCAGGGCCCAAGCCGTTTAGGGCTTTATATGTCAAAACAAGCACTTTGAACTGGGCCTGGGCAGCAACTGGTAGCCAATGTAATTTAATCAGAATTGACTTGATATGTCCCCTAGCAGCCCCACACTCACCAGCCATGCAGCTCGATTCTGGACTAGCTGCAGTCGCCGGACCGTCTTCAAAGGCAGCCCCACGTAGAGTGCATTGCAATAATCTATACGAGATGTTACCAGTGTGTGTGTAACTGTCTTGAGACTCCGCTCGTCCAGGTAGGGCTGTAGCTGGTACAATTTCCACAGCTGAAGGAAGGTGCCCCTGGCTACCGAGTCCACCTGGGCTTCCAGAGTTAGACTGGGGTCCAGGAGCACCCCCAGGCTGTGGACCCTGTCCCTTAGGGGGAGTGTAACGCCATTCAGGGCAGGAAAAGGGCCCTTTAGCCTGTCCGGCAAAGCACCCATTAACAGCACTTCCGTCTTGTCTAGATTGAGTTTCAATTTATTAACCTTCATCCAGTCCATTATCAGCTCCAGACACGAGTTCAGCACAGAAACCGCCTCACCTGGATTAGTGGAAAACAAGAGGTAGAGCTGAGTGTCGTCAGCATATTGCTGACTCCTCAGCCCAAACCTCCTGATGACCTCTCCCAGCGGTTCCATGTAGATGTTAAACAGCATGGGGGACAGTATCGAGTGTATGAGGAACCCCATGACATAAAGGACATGGGACAGAGCAGCTGTTCCCCAACACCACACTCTGGACACGGTCAGCCAGGAAGGAACGGAACCACCGTAAAGCAGTGCCCACAACTCCCAACCCAGCCAGCCTATCCAGAAGGACACCATGGTCGATGGTGTCAAAAGCCGCTGAGAGGTCCAGGAGTATCAACAGGGTCACTCTCCCTGTCTCTCTTCCAGCAAAGGTCATCGTACAGGGCGACCAAGGCAGTCTCCGTGCCAAAACCTGGCCTGAAACCCGATTGAAATGGATCCAGGAAATCCGTTTCATCCAGCAGCGCTGGGGGTTGCCCGGCCACAACCCGCTCCAACACTTTGCCCAAATAAGGGAGGTTTGCCACTGGTCGGTAGTTAATCATCAGCCTTGGGGCCAGGTTAGGCTTTTTAAGAAGTGGTCGAATTACCACCTCTTTCAAGGCGGTAGGGACCACTCCCTCTCTCAAAGAGGCGCTCACGGCCTCCTGGACCCAAGTGCGAACCCCCCTGCCAGATCTTCCAATTAGCCAAGATGGGCAAGGGGCAAGTGGAGTGGTAGTAGAACAGACAGATCCAAGCACCCTGTCCACATCCTCAGGTCTCAACAGTTGAAACTCATCCATTAATATTTGACCTAAGCATGGCACACTGGACACATCCTCTGATTTTGCAGTAACGGTGGAGTCGAACCAATTGGGAATCTAAGCGATTTCCCTCTTAAAATGAATGGCAAACTTAACACAGCGAGCTGATGAGCAGTCCAGGACCTCCACTGGATTTGCCAGTCGAAGAAGATCCCGGACCACCCGAAACAGTTCTACTGGACGACATTCAGAGGAGTCAATACGGTTCAAGAAATACTGCTGTTTCGCCAGCCGTATTGCCACGAAATAGGCCCAATAATGGGCTCTAAGTTGTGTTCGATCAGACTCCCAGCGGGACTTCCTCCACCTGCGCTCCAGCCGTCTCCCCTCTCGCTTCATCGCCCGCAGTTCAAAAGTATACCAAGGAGCTGTCAGGGTTCTGCGTACAGGGAGAGGGTGCTTAAGTTCAATCATGTCAACCGCCCAGGTCATCTCCCTATTCCATAGGGTGACCTTCAACAGGAACGCCAACCATATCAGACGGATAATCCCCCAGAGTGTTCAGGAAACCATCCAGATCCATTAGTCTCCGAGGGCGGATCATCTTAATAGATCCCCCACCCTTCCAGCGGGAAGAAGAAGCTAATAGACTCAATTTGACCAAGAAGTGGTCTGACCATGACAATGGGGTCACGACCAGCGCCTCCACATCCAAACCACCATCTTCCAGTCCCGTTGAGAAAACCAGGTCCAAAGTATGGCCCTACTCATGTGTCGGGCCAATGACACATTGAGACAGCCCTATGGTTGTCATGGTGGCCATGAAGTCCTGAGCCGCCCCAGTCAAGGCAGCCTCGGCATGGATGTTGAGGTCCCCCAGCACCAACAGCCTGGGAGTCTTCAACACCAGGTCCGAGACTGCCTCCGTCAGCTCAAGCAGGGTGACTGTTGGTACACAGCAGGGTGGGTGGTACACGAACAGAATCCCTAATCTGTTTTGTAAGCCCAACACAGTTGGTAGTTTTGCCACTGATCTCTTACATCTTTTCCCCACAACTGTCACTGATTATTATGGATAAATCTATGCAGCTCACTCGCCTTTCATACACTGTATTGTTTAAGAGAGAAAGGCATAAAACTGGAAATTTTACACTCAGTGTGCTAACAACCTGCATTTTCCCCAAATGCAGAAAATTCAGCTGTGTAATCTGTCTCTAAACATGCCTAAAACATATCTTTAAAAATAATATTACTATAGTAGAATATACTGTATTTGTTACACCTGATCGCCTAATGCTGTTACCATTTCTTATGTTACTTTTGAAATGTAACACTGTTACAAAAAGGGAGAGAGATAATCCATTGTAGGAGACTTTTTTAACTGGTTATTTTCCATCTTGGGCTCACTGTTATGTGTTAATAGCTAGGTAGATTTGTTCTTTTTGTTGTAGTGGAAAGATTAGACCTAAAGTACTCCATCTTCCAATAGAGAAGGAGTACTTATTTTAACACAGTATCTGTAGTACAAGGTGTGAGTGGCATAATCTAAATTTTAACATCTATTTTCTGTTTATCTAGTTGCTCTGGGATACAAATGTAAAGATTGATTAAATGGTTTTGTACCATGTGCTGTCCTCAAGAAAAACTTGTTATGCAGGTTTTAGCTTGTCTTCAGGCTCTGCAATACCAAAGTAATATAGATTCTTGAAGAACAGGATTGTTCTTTTGAATAAATTGGCTGATAAGGATGATGGTTCAGAGCTTCTCTGAAAGTAGGTTGAAACTGAACTATTTCAAAACATCCAGAGTGTTTTTAAAAATTTGCAGTAATCGGTGAATGCTTATAAACATTATAGACATACTCTTTAAAATGGTAACAAGCTGCTAGGGATTCTCAGAACTGCTAATTACTCAGTCATGAAATATTGATGAGTACTATCAAATGTTTTGCCTGTTAATATTTTTATTGAAGAATGTAGTTCAGATTGCTCCATTTCTGAAAAGCAACGCAGAAAGCAGTTCTACAGGAGTCCAATATTGCCTTGTACCTGTTTGTAAATGCTGGATTGTCTTTGTATGTTATATTGTTGTTGCTTTGGACTCTGAAGGGGGGGGGTGTTCCATGATAAAGCATTCAGCCACCTGCTACTCCCTGGATACTCAGCATGCAAAAGCAGGGAGCAGTGCCACATATTGGTGTTTGAGGACAAGTGCTGGGGGCTGACTGCTTCAACTTGAGATGGCCTTACTTCAAAATCAGTGAAGTGCAGTGCATCACTTAAATGGAGGCTAGCTACTGACTCCTTTCTGATCTGCAGTGAGGACATTTCTGTTCCAGCTATCTGCTCCCAGAGCCAGTAGGATATTACTTTGAATTGCCTTATTTCATAAGAATTTTTCTTCTTCTTATATCCATTGTTGAAATAACCTTCATTTGTAAATCATTAGTGAATTGATACATGTAAATTTGCAGGCTATCTATATCTTTTTGTTCAGACATTATCCTGAATTTGTACTACTCAGTTCTAATTTTATCTTTTCTTTGCTCTGTAGCAAGACCCCTTGTACAAACACTGCCTTTAAAGACTACTGTTAATAATGGTACTGTTTTACCAAAGAAACCCAGTGGGTCTCTACCTTCCCCATCAGGAACCCGAAAAGAAATTGTATCACCAGCAGCAAAAAGGTATTGACATTTTCCTCACTTGTATGTGTGAGTGTACATTATCTACTTCTGGTTTCTCGAATTGCTCCTTTGAGTAATGTTTGCTCTCTGATTTATAACTTTAAGAATAAATTTCTAGATAATTAAACTATGTTACAGTTGGAAATGTATAAATTTCTTCAACTTTATTCACCCTAGTTTAATTAATTAAGATTAATTTGTTGGAAGAAATTCTGAAGGAGCATGTAATTAGGCTGTTATTTTCTTGTCCCTGTGATTTGAAGTTAAGAGCTGGAAATGGCTGCTTAAGGATTTTATGATCTGTTCAGAAATTGAGTCTCTTTGTTTTGCTAACAGAAGTTATAAAAGATGCTTGGAAGATGTTACATTACAGCTAAATAGCTGTAATACATTTGCTTCCTGTTGCTACACTGTATATAAATATGGCTCTTCTTCCATTACTGTAATTTTGTGCAGCTCCCTTATTTTCATTTATGATAAGAGTCAGTGAAACTCTAATTCAAATAAAAGCATTCTCCTAAGCACTATCCTTCCTCCTTACTGATGCCATATTAAGATTTTCTGAAAGTCATTGCTTTCATTTATTATAGGTTCTATTAGAAAACAAGCCCCACAGTTCATTACATATTTGTCTTTGTTCCTGCCTAGTTTCTGCCCAGTGCATTCATCTGGGATTCTTTTATGAAGAGCATGTATTTGAATGGCATTCTTTTATCTCCTGTGTCAAGTCACTTTATATTATATTTTTGCTTTAGAGAGAAGAGTAAAATGTTCAAAGAACTTGCCAAATCTGGATTTATTTATTTATTTATTTATTAAATTTATACCCCGCCCCTCTAGACCATGTCTACTCAGGGCGGCTTACAACATAAAAATCAATATAATATATATATAATCATTAAAATACAATTACTATATTAATTAATACAGTGAATTTAAGAAAAAAAATACCAAGATGGGGCAGGATAAGGAAAGAAGAAATAAAAAGACTTAGCTGACTGGAGGGAAGATGCATGATCTTTTAAACGAACTAGAACTCTTTTGAATACTGACATATTTTTCAGGTTCTGCAGTTGTCAGAATTCTAAAAACTGTTAACAAAATATACAGTATATGTATTGAAGAAGTACAGTTATATTAGAGGCACATATACAGAAAATATACAAAGAAAATTGCATGAGATGCACATATTTTAAAAATTCCATGTTTGCCAGCTAGTGTAAGTGTGATGAAAAACGAAATTCATAATGTTGTTTAATATTAGTACACAGTGTGTTAATTAACCAGAAGGCAAACCTGCAGTGTTCTGCAGCTATTGCACCTGATGGAAAGGAAGCACATGTGGTTCTCCACAGGTTTCTAGGTACTTGCCAACACAAAGGAATATGCATATACCCGCAGCGATACCAGTGTTTCCTGTGACAGAAAATGGGAGAAAGGAGCTGTGTTTTATCTGTAAAAACAGGATTAGTCTTTCCATGAGTGTTAAGGACTGAGAGATCACATCAGTTATTATGCTGCTATGAGTTCTATCTCTGACTCTATCTCTGACTCTCTTGTCGATTAGCATAGCTAGTGTGTATGTGGTATGTGTTAGTATAACATGTTGCAAGACTAGCTGATCATTGGTTCTTAGCACCAAGATTAGTGTACATAGCTTAGATCAAGGATGGACACAGTGAAGCCCTTAGGCCACCAGCAGTCTCCAATTCTACTTTTGTGGCCCCCATGAAACTTGGAGGGGAAAGAATATATTGAAATATAACTTAGGTTGGAGGAGGCTTATCTAGGCCAGACCTTCACAGTTCCAAAATCAAAGCTAGATATGGATATTTTAATAGTCCTTGTTTTGATTTTTAATTTTGGGGGTGGGTTGATATTTCCGGACCATCTTGGGGTTTAGGGGCAAGAATTTGGTTCCCTGACCCACCAGATCTACTCATCCCTAGCCTAGATATTCAAACACCCTGAATGTATTAGGAGAAAGCCACTTTGTAAACCAGAGGGGCTAGTTAATATCTGTAACATAATAATAATCATGTACCATCTGATTAAGGCAACTCTTCAGGGTTTTCTAGGTAGAAAGTACTCAGAAGTAGTTTGCCATTGCCTGGTTTTGGGGGCATCCTGGGACAGTGCAGCTTGCCCAAGGCTACACAGGCTTGCTATCCTAAGATACATGGGGGGGAGCAATGTAGACCAGGTGTCTGAATGACAGCTAGCTCCTCTTGTAGATGATATCATATACAGTGGTGCCCCGCATAGCAGCGTTAATCCATTCCAGGATTAACGTCGCTATCCGGAAACATCATTATACGGAAAGGAAAACCCCATAGGAACGCATTAAACGGAGTTTAGTGCGTTCCTATGGGGGAAAAACTCACTGCTAAGCGAAGATTCCCCATCTGGCCGCCCTTTTCGCCACCTCGGTAAGCGAGAGCAGGGCGCAAAAACGCTGCGGGTGGCTATTTTCTGCACCCGGCGGCCATTTTGGAACCACCGATCAGCTGTTTCCCTAACATCGCAATGCGAAGATCAGTAAGCAAAACGCTTACCGATCATCGCAATGTGATGTTTTCCCTATCCAAAACATCGCAATGCGATCGCATTAGCGATCGCAAAAAACGTGTCACTATGCGGATTCGTCGTTCAATGGTGCGCTCGTTACGCAAAGCACCACTGTACTGGTATGCAGAGAGTGAGAGTGAGCGAGCTTCCAAATCACTTACTTGAATAAATGAGCAGAGAAGCACCTTCCAGGTATTAATGTCCTGTCCTATGATTTTTTAAAAACCGTTGGCTCTGACTGAGCATTTTAACCTTAGATTGAACCAGTACAGTGCTTTCATCAGCCACCTGGAAATTTATCTGTCGGGATACATTGCTGTGTTTTAAAGGAATACCAATAAAATAGTTGGCATGTTCCAAGTTTTCTGTGAATGGCAGCTTGGAAGTTTCTTCAAGTTACAGTCATTTAATTATTTTGCTGTAGAATGGTAAAACAAAAACAACTGAGATCAAGTGTGTAATGAGACAACTTTAAGAATGTTTACCACATTGTGGCTAATAGACATTGTTTGGGGTGGATTTGACTTATATGTATTGTGTGTGTATGTACTTGATTTCCATCAAATTGATCTAAATCCTGATTTAAATAACTCCTCAGAAAGGTACAATTTTAATCCTGTGGGGCTTTTTTCACATGAAAGAAGTACACCTTTGCTTGCTATGTCCTTAACACATGTTTTCACAATTATTTTTCATAACCCCCGTTTCCAGATTGTCTCCAGAAATCTTTAATTTATTGAAATGCCCCATGTCTGAAAGTGTACAGAGCTGCAGAGAGCCAGTAAGTATGGTTGTTGCTCTGCAGACACCACCAGCACTCAAGGAAACCATTGAAAGCAGATTTTCTAAAAGTTTCCAATATTTTATCAAGTTGAGATAGAAAAATAAAGCTCCTGGAATGACTTTGTTGTTTCTCGTCTCCTGCTGTTAATCTTTGGAGGCACAGATCTAGTTTGAGAAGACAAAGTATTTTCTGCTATATAACAGAGTGTTAGGGGAAATAGAAAGATTGACCTAGGTACAGAAGCTCATATATCTTAAAACTGAATCCCCAATCCAAGAACTATTAGATCTCATTTACAAAACTTTTAGAAAAGATAATGCAAATATGTTGACTGAATCTTGTTGCACAACTCCATATGCACAGTGTGGATTATGTCAGAAGCAGGAGCAAATTGCCACTATTTAAAAGCTTCCTTTGGCAATTTCAGGGTGCATGCAACTTCTAATTGTGTACAATTGGAAGTACAATTGCATGGCTCCTGAAATCACCAAAAGACATCTTTAGTCAGGAACAATTAACCACTGCTGATGTAATTTGCGTTAAACATGCATTACATATGTGTGCGACAGAGTTTCACTTGCTGGTTCATAATTTTGAATTAGAATTTATAATCCTTATTTCATCATGAGATCTTTGAGCAGTAAGATGTTTACAATTACAGCTATAATCACAATCACATTTTTTTTTTAAAAAAGAAGCATTTTAACAATAAAAAGGGGAAATCTGATTCAAATTTTAAAAAATGAATTTTGTATTTTAAAATTAGTTTTATCTGCAGGTCTTGAAATGCTGTATTACTGCTTTGATTACATATAGTTCACATTTTATGCAGTGTGCACATATATCACTAACAGACATTTTTACTGTACTTCAGACTGCTGATTTGGAGAAATGAGAACAATTTTTTTGGCATTCATAAGGGGTGTGACTAGATGACCCATGATTTTTCAGAAAAGCAGAATTATTGTGCACATCTCACTTCAGCAGTTTAGGATCAAACTACAAGGACCTTGGCTACTGCCTCTGCTGCTGTTGTGTGTGCATGTGTATGTGCATGAGAGAAAGTACACAGATACTAGTACTGGGGTAGAGAGATGGGGAGGGAGAGACACAGGTGGGCAAAAATCCACTTCAGATGCTTATAATTCCTCCAAATTATGGAGGACCATAATGTGATGACTAGAATAAATGCAAAAAAGAAGTGTGGGTAAAATTTTATTTTAGTATAAATAAATTTCATCTTAGTATGAATATGATCTGGGATATTTCATTGAGGATAATTCTACAATTTCTTGAATACTTATTTACTGTGTCTGTCAAGACAATTCTGACTTATGGTGACCCTGTTCAACTAAGTAGGGAGTGCTTAGATGTAATTTTACCATTCCATTCTTCTGGGGGCATCTTGCGACAGTGCAGCTTGCCAAAGGCTGCACAGGCTGGTTCTTCTAGGAGGCCCAGTGGGTAATTGAACTCTGAATCTCTGGCTCTGCAACCAGATACTTAACTCACTGAGCTATTCAGACAGCCTGACGAATACCTACAGAAAGTAAAAATCCATTGGTACTTGTGGGCTGATTTTAACAACCTAATAAGTATTACTAATACAGCATAGACATCTGTCTTATGTAGATTAATCTCCCACTCTTTTTAATTAAACTAATTATAAGAGGGAAGAGTGGTAGATTATATTCCTAGAAAACAGAATTGTCAAGTATTCTGTGATGAATATTTTACTTATTATAATGAAGTATTGCTTTAAGTGGTCAGCATTTCCTTAGCTTATTAAATGTTTGTATTTTAAACACTCATGTCCCTGTGTACTGTTGAAAGTTTTAGTATTTTTTAAAGAAAAAGGACTTTTAGTCATGGATATGTGTGCCTCATTTTGCCCCATTGTTTCCTGTGATCTGTATTCAATATTAGCTACAATGATTGTGGTGTACTGTATTAGCTTCATTTCTTGCCTGACATACAGTGGAGATACTTTGGATGCCTGGAATTTCAAATTAACTATACACCACCATTCATTATTTGTGTCTTTCTTTCACTTGTGTAACTTACACTTTTGTTGTTTGCCCTTGCCCCGGCTGTTGTGGTATTGACTTTCCTCTCTGTCTTTTAAGGACTACTGTTTGTTTTCTTTTTTTTTTTACCCATTAAAAGAAAAAGATCCTGAGGTATCTGCATACATTGTTTAAAGCTGTATGTATGTTCTAAATTTCTTTGCAAACATTTCAGAGCCCTCAGCATTTCTTTGTTCAAGGTACCATATGAAGTTTGAATTATGAAGGTACCCAATCAAGGAATCTGTTAAATGATCTGGTTCCTTAATGTTGCATCACATAATACGCTGATTGCATGAAATGTATGTCTTGTACTGTAGCTTTTTATAAATGTTTTTCCTCCTTACATTCTTATTTTACTGCATTCACGTTTATTCTGCTTTGTTTATGCACTTCTCATTCATGGATTGAGCAGGTCTGTGAGTCTTCTCAATGCATGCAAACTGAAAAAAACTGCTCTAAGGTGAGGGGTTCTTACTAGTACTGTAATGTGCCATGTATTTGTTTCTATATTCTTTAACCTATGATGGAAATAGCACCTTTCCATGTTAGTAGTGTATAACCCAACTGACTATTAAATACTTCAGCATTTAAATTCATGTTTTAGGTAGTACTAACTTCTCAGCATCTTTACTAACATTTCCTGCTACTTAGTGAAGATTGCTTGCTAATCTAATTGCCTGTATCAATGTTCTGAGTATGTTGTAGCCTATATAGAAACCTTACATTGAAACCTTACTGATTGTTGGGCTTGTAATTTTAAGCCTCAAAGAGAGGAATCAGTTGTTTTTCATACAAGCTCTGTACAGAAAGCCCAGTTCACAGTGAAATGTATTGTCCTGCATGACCTCCTGACTCTGTAGTGTCCCAAGATCTTGATTTGCCCTGTATTTGGGAGAGTTCTCTGATTAACTAAGAAAAGCTTCATCCAGTGTTCCATACATAGGTTTTATTCACATTAATGGGGGTTTACCTATATCTGGTACTTTATTTGAATTAACAATAATTTTAACAGTAATTTGTAGTAATTATATTTGTACCACAAGAAATTTAACAACATTTACATTGAGGTTATAAATTGTTGGAAACAAATTTCTGTTTTTATGTAAGCTGCAACTTGCTACTGCATCTTGTTCCTATGCAAACATTTTGGGTCAACAAATTATGTTGATTTAATAGCCAAAACCTTTTTTCTAGTAACTCACCAAATATGTGGTAACAATGCTTGTGAATATGAACACACGTAGAGTGCCTTTCTCTTTAGCCCCAACAGTTGCCATTTGTGCACACTTAAGGAAAGAGCCTAGTAATGTCTATAGCAGTGGTTCCCAACCTTTTTAGCCCCACGGACCGACTGGGGAAGACAGGGCACCCCCCTGCACTCGTGTGCATGTGCAGAGGAGCACTCTCTCTCGCTTTTGTGCATGCTTGTGCAGGTGTGCTAGCGTGCAGGTGCAAATGGGCTGTGCAAGGGAGAGTGTGTGCAGGGGTGGGGGTGAGGTCTCTCTCCACAGCCCAGTCTGGCTCAGGCTATAGACCATAGGGGACCTATGGTCTATAGCATTGTCCCCTATGCATGATTTTCCCAAGGTCTTTTTTTACATATAAATCTTAAACCTTGGCAACCCCCAGTAAGCCTGTCTTTTCAAAACCAGTATTAGCAAGTTTACAGTGTTATTTCCCTCCTTTTCAACAAAATTATTACTAACAAAATCCATTACAGATCTGCCTGCCATCCCTCTAGCAACATCCCTTTCACAAGCTAATTTTGTTGTTGTTGGTTCTTATGCAGCCCTGGGGGACAAAATAGAAGAAATAAGGAAATGCTCTGTTATTTTAAAGACAAGTGGTCACTACTCTTGACAAACATATTTTGGTCGGAATGAAGCAGTACAAGAGGTTGTTGACTGAGAAATATTTGAAAGGAATATATTATGGAAGCAAAGGATAGATGTTTAGGTTTAAAACGTAGTTTGGCTGCTGTTCTTGAATAGTTCCAGAATATTGGTAGTGCAGAGGCTGGGGAGCAAAAGAGACAGTATGGAGGAAGCAACTTTGTCCATTGGGAAGAAGCAGCACTCAATCAAAAATGGTGTGGCAACACTCTTCACACTACCTGTAACTCATCAATTAGATCTGCAACACTCCTGGAAAGGAAAGGAAAGTGTGCTGCTTTTACACTGCCCTATAGTGTGTAAAACACTCTCTAGGCAGTTTATAATTTAATTATGCACACTACACATTGCCTCTTTCCCCTGCAAGTTGGATACTCAATTTCCTGACTTCAGAAGGATGGAAGGCTGAGTGAGCCTCAAGCTGGTAACCTGGGATTAAATCCCAGTTGTGAGCAGAGTTTTGAGTGCAGTATAGCATTTTAACCATTGCACCACAAGGCTTCTGAGAACGAACAGAAGATAGTTTTAAAAAAAGAGAAACTAAGAATTAGAGAACACATTCCTTTGTTACCTTGCTAATATTTATGAGTATACTTAGAGAAGACCAACTGCCTCTTACCCCTTTGTTGGTGTTCTTTTCAGTGAAGGGCAACAAGTCGGAGGAGAAGAAATTCTTGTACTCAAATCAAAAGCCATTTTTTCTGGGGTGCATGCTTAAATATAGAGCCTACACATGAGGATGAGCTTCTCTTCAGACACATGGCTCTCCCCATGGAGAAAAGGGTAGCATGAAGGACAGGAACGAGTTGCTTCCTTTTAATTATGTTAATAATAGCCAGGAAGGTAACAACCTGAATACAGTAGATCTATTAAAAGTCTGCTCCACTTTTTCCTGGCAGCTTTATTCTGCTGTTTGCACCCGTCTTCCCCAAGCATCTGAATTCATCAAAATCAAAGTGATTTTTTTCCTCATTCGTTGAATTGTTTTGTAGAAAGTGAGCAACCATGAACATTTGAGTGGAGATAATTATAAAAGTGGGTGTCAGTTCACCGTGTGAAAGTTCCAGTTGAGTGGGGCCTACTTGCCTTAGATCTTTAGGATCTATCTCTGCTGCCTTCAGCACATTCTTTACTCTCTTCCTTGCTCACTGTAATAGTCAAGCAGCTTACGTGTGGCTGTGGGAAATGTGATAGCCAGTACACCAGATCCTTGGCACAGCATCCATTCTTAAGCAGACATGAGCCTGATGCAAATAGTGGCATCATCTATGGGAAGACAGATATTTGTGTTGATTTCTGGGTGTCCTTACAAATTCTTCTCTATTCAGAACCAACAATGAAAGGCCCATGCATCTCTAATAATGGCTCAGGTGAGACTATGATCCTACATTTGTATTTTATGCATGGCAATTATTTTCTTATATAATTTTTATTCTTGCTACAGGCCATGTGTTCTGAACCACTTCTTTAAATAGACATTACTGCATTTCTCTTCATATTCCCAAAAGATGGGTTAGTAATTTCACCTCAAGGTATATAATTGTTTTGGGATTGTGTTTTCGAAGAGCTTGCTGTGTGGGTTCATAATAATATACAATATGCATGAATGGATATCTCTCCTGTTCTACTAGCACTGTCAAAAGAACCAACTCAGCTGAACGTGTGTCTCCAGGAGGTCGGCGGGAAAGCTATGGGGATGCCAAAGGCAGCCGCAATCGAGCTGGATCCACAAGCAGTTCATCCAGTGGTAAAAAGAATAGTGAAAGGTATACAGTACACCTGTCGTGACATTTTTTCCCTTGTTGTCATTAGAATAAAACATTCCATTTATGTAGCACTTTACAGGCTGATAAGGAAGCAAAAAAGTAGTCATTGGCCTTCATCCTGTTTTGACAGAAAGTGGAAATTGCAAAAGGAGTGGAGTAAGTAGGAAAGGTAACAAAGAACAAAGAAGAACATTATTTCCTTGAAGAAGGAGAAAGTGACTGAATGGCAACAATTAATAAACGTTCACTTACAAACAAACAAGAGAGGTGACCATGCCAGGTTATACTCAGTTATCTCTCTGTCTGAGTCACCCCATTGCTGATTACTTTGCATTTAGTTTAAATATGTTACTTTAAATGCTGTTATTCTAATACACCCAGAAGAGGCTGGGTGTGTTGGAATAACAGCATTTATTCTGGCCTGAGGCTCTTGTTCTATTTTCTGACCAGAGGTTATAGTCATATAATCAAGGTAATCTCCTCTCAAAATATTTGTACAGTGTGAAATAAGACAATATAAGAGGTCGGCAGCAAGAACTTTAAAAATGAGGAAAGTGAGTCTATGCTAGATCAATAAAAAGGATAGAAAGCCAAAGTTGTAGTTCAGAGAAGGCATTTCATGGGCCTAAGGCAGTGGTCAGGGAACAGGGGTATGGAATGGGCTGGATCAGGATAAATAGGGTCGCTAGGAGGTCCAGTATGCCATTTGGTGCAATCCTCACATCCAAATGGCATATGGACGCCGCATGTCACTGTTTGGTCTGTACAAGACCCCTGTCTATTTGCCAGTATTGTGTGGTTTAAGAAGAAAGCTGTTTCAGCATATTGGCAAATTATTTACTTCATTGACTCCACGGAGGGGTCAAGGAAGTGATTTTTTTTTTAAAAAAGAAATGTGTTAGGATTGCACATATGCACCACATCACTTGAAAAAAAAGTCAAATAAAAAATTCCTCCCAGAAGGAGGAGGAGAAAGGAGGGAACAATGAGAGGGATTTTTGTTTGCTTTTCTTGACGGCCTCTCAACTAGAAGAGAAAAGAGGGGGAAACCCCCCTCATTGTCCCTTCTGGGAGGAGGTTTTCTGTTTGACTTTTATTTTTTCAGAATTGATGCAGTGCATATGTGCTGCCTTAATACACTTTAAAATAAAATTCACTTCCTCATCTGGAAGTGTTTAATTTGCCAATATCTCGAAGTGCTTTTCTTCTTAAGTGACCTCACAACATTGGCAACTGACAGGAAGGTTTGATTTTGGTTCATTCATAGTGATCGCACGTGCCTGAAATGAACCAAAACAGAGCCTCCCAATCAGCATCAAAAAAGTAGAAGTTCCTGAGAGGGACCAAGAAGGTGCAGGTAGGACTGTTCTGGGATGTGCTAGTTTACTCCAGGGTGCAATATCAGTGCTTTTTGCAGCAGAGGTTTAGATGAGATTGAAAATACTGTACTGTGATAAAGGTGACTAGAGGAGACTTCAGTAGTTAAGCCAGAGAACATAAAGCACCTGAAGCTGTTGACAGGATAGATGGAAGGCACAGGTTTGTTCAAATGACTTGACATGTCAGCATAGGGAACGAGGGGAACAAAAGAGAGAGAAAAATAAACAGTAAATTGTGATTTGGTGAGATAGAGGAGTAAAGTCATCAAGAATATGTGAGGTCTGAGTAGAAAGATAAGTAGAACCGTGTTGTTAAAAGGGTCTTTCTTGATTATTTTCACAGCAAGCCTAAGGAACCAATGTTCAGTGCAGGTAATTGTTTCACTTTTCTATCTATTCTTACATAAATATATATATTTATTCTGCGTTTTGTAGTCATGCATGTGAGAGATTGACATGTCTATACTTTCTTTACGGATGACTAGACAACAGAATGATGACTATTTCCTAATTTCTCAATCATGGTTTGGTCCGTGTTGCTGTGGGTAAGAAATAAAATCATTTAGAAATAGGAAATAATCATTTAAATAAATCAACAGATAAAGCTTACAGAATTTTGCCCTTGTTTTAATTTTTTTTAATTCTGTATTTTGAAATGAGTTTATAAAGTCAATCATCTCTGTTTTTTTAGAATTTAAGATAGATTCAGACATTTCCTTGTCATGTCCAATGAATGTACAATTCCATTTGAAGCTATGTACTGCTTAGAAAAGAATATTGGGATCCGCGTTTATAAAATGTCTTTTAACATCTTGGAGGAAAGATGCAATGAAAACACAACACCACACAGCTTTTGGAAGGCTGCTCACCCTTCCTGTTACACACAAATACATAGACAAGAAGCTTATTTCTAAATAGTCAAATTATGTTACTCCTTTGTGGACCACTGTCAATATAACATTTTTTTCCATGTGGACTCTGAAGAGCTTTATATATCTTTTACTTGATTATTTTATTCAGTTTTTGCAAATCTGGTACTGACTTGGACACTCAACTTTAGTGGTGCAGAATTGTGATATTGTAGAACATGCTAAAGCGTTATATATAAGGATCTTGATGCACAATATACCCTCCTCATATTTTTATGTCAACTTTTTTACTTCCAAGGCTTATGAAAAGTGAATGTGGGGGGAGAGAGAGAAATGTTGGCAGAAGCTGGGAAGGAGCTTGGTTCACTGACATAGCACATGATTTGCATGCAGAATTGGCACCTCCCTGACCAACATACTGTTCAGTCCTCAGCAAATAATGTTGTCCCTGACTGAAACCTGCAGCTATTGTCAATGTAGATCAGGGGTAGGCATAGTTCACCCTTCCAAACAGCAGCTCCCACTAGTCCTGGTTCACACAGCCACTGGTGAGGAATTGTTGAACCAGCAATATCTGGAGCGTCCACTTTGCCCACCTGTGTTGTAGACAGTACTCAGGTAGATGAACTTAATATCTGACTTAATATAAGGCAGCTTTTTATATGGAACCAATTAGCCCTAAATGGTATATTCAGTAATAAGTATGGATCTTGCCAGAGGTGACAAGCCTATTGGCTAAAAGGTTCTTTATTACCTTGCTAATCATTCTTTTGGGCCCCCAAACAATTATAAAACATTTGCCTCAAGACTCTGAATTTAGCAGTATGACCTGTCTATTTGTTAAATTATAAACTAACACACACACACGGCTTCTTAATTAGTAGAACAAGAAAAATACATGAAAATAAACTACACTTTATATATTTTTAGAAATCTTCCCAGTGATTTCTGTTTTATTTGCAAAGGACCCAACCCCATGTCAATTTGTTAGGATAACATTTTCAGGGAAGAATTTTTTATATATGTTATCCTAACAAATTGACATGGGGTTGGGTCCTTTGCAAACAAATTGACATGGGGTTGGGTCCTTTGATAGATAGATAGATAGATAGATAGATAGATAGATAGATAGATAGATAGATAGATAGATAGATAGATAGATAGATAGATAGATAGATAGATAGTAATTTAAAAAACAACTAATTCAAACATCCTTTAAAAAACAACTAATCCCGCAGTTGAACTTCATATATCATCATTAGAGATGGGAGTATTTGTATATAAATATCCCCACACCGGTGGTGTTAATAAGGGTCCAGCCTCACTGCCCCACACTGGTGGTGTTAATAAGGGTCCAGCCTCACTGATCCACTGCGGATGGCGCGATTCTGCCAATGGCTCCGCAGCATGTGATCCGCTTGCCACTCCTGGCAGGAAGCAGGAGGACAACCTCGCTGCAAGGTCGAAGAGTGGTGAGCTGATCTCATGCTGTGGAGCCATTGATAGAATTGTGCCGTCTGCGTCCGTGTCGGATTGGTGAGTGGATTGTCCAGCCCCATGGGGCTGTACCCTCGTTAACGCCACCTGTGCGGGGATATTCGTATACGAATACCTCCATCTCTAATAATCATACAAAGAGCTTTTGAGTTGAAGTTCTCCTTCCAATACTATTTCCTCACTCTACATCTGCTGTAGAGAATTTTGAGACAGTGCTGAGATCTGAAGCAGAATTTAGGGGAGGGGAGGCCATTATACTAGCAGTCTCTGTTCTGTTGTTGAATGGATGTTGTTGAGTATAACCTGTTCTTAGGTAGAAACACAAAACTTTACATGCATTTTGATATTTAAAGGGATTATTATTTACTTAGCCCGTATTTGCAACCAGTTTATCACATTTAACATAAGAAGAAATTTTTATCCCTTGGCAAGATGATGCAGATTTTATATAGGCAATTCTGGCTTTTCTTCGCTATGCACATCACGTGGGCAATCAAATAAAGCTAGCAATAATATTTGTAATCTTCTATTTTCAGCCCTGTGGTGAGAGTAGCTGATAAGGAAATGGTTCAGACATAACAATAAACCATTATTCTGTTAGTTTGTTTACTCAATGTGTTTTGTTTATCTGTTATTTATTGCAGAGTATCAGTAGCAGAGATAAGGCAAACAAAATCTACTACTTTATAGTTCAGTATAACAATACCTTATAGTACAGTATAATAAAACTGCAAAACATCATAATAAAAACAAATCAAAAGCCTGTGCTTGCATGAGGTTACACTCCATCTGAAAACACGGGTGCACAGCTTGGGGGTACTCCTGGATTCATGTCTGAGCCTGGATGCCCAGGTTTCAGTGGTGGCCAGGGGTGCCTTTGCACAGTTAAAACTAGCGTGTCAGCTGCTCCTGTTTCTTGAGAAGGCTAACCTGGCCATGGTGACACATGCACTGGTTACATGTTTACTGGATTACTGTAACACTCACTACAGGGGCTGCCTTTGCATGGTGTTTGGAAACTCCAGAGTGTCCAAAATGCTACAGCCAGATTGCTAACTGTGGCTGGTTACAGGGATCATGTAACCCCACTATTATGGCAGCTGCAATGACTACTGATCCATTTCCAGGCACAGTTCAAAGGGCTGGGTTTAACCTATATGAGGGTTCCTAAAGCCCTAAAAAGCTTGGATCCTAGCTATTTAAAAGACCCGTTCTCCCTCTATGAGCCTGCCCAGGCTGTGAGATCATCAGGGGAGGCCTTTGTCACGGTCCTACTACTCTCACAAGTGCGCTTGTTGGGGACACGGTGGAGGGCCTTTTCTGCTGCTGCTCCCAGGCTCTGGAACTCCCTCTTATGGGAAGCTAGGCTGGCCCCATCTTTCTTGTCCTTAACCGGGCAAAGATCTTTATCTCCAGATGGGCTTTGCCTTAATAACTAGTGGTCTGAGAGAATTTTTAAAATGCATTGTTGTGCTATGTTATTTTAAATGTGTTTTAGTATTGATTTTATGTCCATTTTTAATGATACTTGTTTAATTACTTTTTAATGCTGGTGTACCTACTGCATTTAGCTTTTAAATATTATATTTGTAATTATGTAAGGTGCCTTGAGTTCTTCTTAAAGAGAAGGACAGAATAAAAATATTTTAAATAAATAAATGAATAACAGCAGTGAAACAATGAAAGCAGTGTGTTATAGGAACCAATGCCATAACCCAACCTATCTTTTGCAAGTGGACAAACCAAACCAAGAACAAAGTTTGAAGCTGGCTTGCAAGCATAGTGTTGATAGACTATCCTGGATGTTTCCTTTGGACTAGAAAACCCTCAAGTCCAATGCTTCTTATAGAAAGTGGGAGAAGGGCAGAAAACTCCACTGACTGCACAAATCACAGTTTAGAGTCTTAAATCCTCTTTAGCGCAAACTGTTAAACACGAACTACTCTAGGATCTTCCTTTTCTTACATTGCCCATGCAAATGCATAGCTGGCGATGTTTTATATCACTTTTGTGAATGAAAAATGATATTATCTAAGTGGTGCATAAAATAATACAGTTGGGGCATTCTTAGAGCAGGGCTTTAGGAGAGCCTGACTGTTCTTGAATGCATCTTTATCTAGCACTTCTATCTCTGTCTCTGTAACCACAAGGGAAACGTCGTGTGACACATTGCAAAGGTAGGTAGGCCTTGCTTCTCAAACCTCATAGCTCTCTAAGCAAGCCTATTAACTGGACCAAAGGAGTTCGTCTCTGTGGAGACAACCTGTTCCTTGCACTGCAAAAACATTATTAAATAAGTTCAACTTTGTTTGATCAAAGTTCTTGCAGAGCATCTACTAGGTTCTAAACCAGGGGCGTCCAACCTTTCACCTTCCCTGGGCCTCATTAGAAGATGAAAATTTGGTTTGGGCTGCACATAAATTTGGTTTGGGCCGCATGGGGGGCAGCCCTAGCCATCCTCCGCATCCCTGCTCCAAGCGCACTTAACCGGCAGCTGCGATCTCAGACAGCAGAGGCTGCCAGCTTCGACTCTGGCGGCTTTATGGGGCCGGGAGGGGGTCCACCTATTGATGAGGACGGCGCAATGCCATCATACAGCCCCCCTGTCCCCTCCCTTCCCACTCCTTCCTTCCTTCCTTCTCCCCCCCACCACTATTGTGACGTGCCCCGGCCGCAAGCGCCAGTAGTGTAACTTGAAACTTTGGAATTTCTTTAAAAATAAAAAATTGCACTGGGCCGCATTACGAGCTGACCTGGGCCGCATACGGCCCTCGGGCCGCAGGTTGGACAAGCCTGTTCTAAACCTTGTAGAATTTAATGTGAATGGATTTTTACTTAGATTTTTCCTTTTGATATTGTTGTTGACTTGGTGAAGAGAGCTATATGGCAACACATGAATGTCTCATTGTGTGTTATTAGTTGCTTGGCAAGTTGGCTGAAAAGCCTTGTGATAGCACCTGCTCTATATAGTTTGACCTGATAGCATCCTAATGTGTGTCTAAAGAAGCATTTTGTTCTAGAGTGGTATTGCAGTGCTTATTTACTTCCTGAATTGTTCCTGATAGATCATAGGCTTAACCTGAGCAGGCAACAAGCAAATTGCAGTAGCTAACAGATATTGCATTGCTTTTTAATGTTATGTTAATATCAAACTAGGGTAGTGACTCTACTGGGGTGAGAGTGTTTGTTAATTACTAACAGATAACCAAATAATAATCTGTTCACACAGTGTTTTTTTGTTATACTTTGTAAAGGGTAAACAGATTTCTGTTGCATTTATAAAACTGGTTTATTCCTCACTAATTTCTCATACATCTGCTGCATCTTAGTTATACATATGGCTAAGTTTTTCGTCTTTTACAATTCTGTTCATGTGTACCAAATGATGAAAGTCACATGTAACATAAATTCCAAGAACTCTTATAGAAGAAATTTGAGGTGCTCTTAAGTATTAAGCCTAGCGATGGGGGTATTGGTATTCATATAGCAATATCCCCTCACAGGTCCAGATAACGAGGGTCTGGCACCCTGGGGCCAGATTGGCTACTCACAATTCCGCCACTGCCACAAGTTCCGCAATCCCTTCCTATCTCTTCGTTGCTCACGACGAATTAGCCATTCTGTGACCTGGCAGAGAGGCTCATCATTCTGCCTTCTGCCAGGAATGGCTAATCCATCATGAGCAACAGAGCGATAGGAACGGACTGTGGAGCTTGCAGTGGCGGAAATGTGAGTTGTCGGTCTGGCCCCAGGGTGCCAGACCCTTGTTATCTGCACCTGTGGAGAGGGGGAATAGTCATATTCGAATACGAATATCCCCATCTCTAATTAAACCCTTTGCAATCCTACTAACATTCAATGCTATCAGCTCAGTGCTCTTCACAAGCTGTTGTCAATGCTATAACAATACAGGTACTACACTTACATTCACTAGGGTTTCTCTAACAGTTGTTCTTTTGTCTATGTGTTCAGAGGCTTCACCTCCTTAAACCAGTATTTCTTAATTGTGTTATGTTATTCTCCAACCCTTAGCATCTGTTATTTTTTCTTGAGTATCTTTGTAACAGTTCTGCTTCGGTATTTGGAGTCAATACAAGGCATACCACTCTTTAGATTAGACTTTCAGAATGATGTAAAATATATGTATCTATGTAGATATACTGTACATTTACACACTGCCAAAATACTAGTCGGCTTCCACATGCCTGATGTCAAAGGATGACCTGGACCTTAAGTCTATGAGGTGGTTGACTAGCAAGGAGTATTCTCCATTTTTTAGTGTGTGTCTCACAGCAACGTTCCTAATTGCTGGTGGATTTTACAGACTAGAGTGTACAGAACTCAATACCTTGTTCCTAACTTCAGGATGGGCAATCTGCGATTCTCCATGTGTTCTCAAATTGCAACTCATAGTACCATTAGTTAATTTAGCCCTAGTCAGTGTAGGAATTGTAGTACAACTGTCTGAAGGGTCATAAATTGAACACCTCTGTCTTAAAAATGGTGCCGCAGGTGATACAGGTATAATGTTGTGCTTTATAGTCTGATGATATAGTAAACTGTTAAATGTTTACATGCTTGCATAGTAAATTTTAGGATACGGCCAGAAATCTGACACATTTTTGAAAGTCAATTGTCTTTTCAATGAATGGATATAGTTAATGTTAACCTCAGTAGATCTATAGCACCTTCTAGAAGAACAGTACAGAAATAAAGTAGTCTTAAAGTCCAGTTCTTGAAGAACATGACCCTTTACAGACTAACAGTGCTAATGGATAATAACTTGGAAGAGAACTGTTTACTTTTACTGTTTTCGTCTTCCCCTTTCCACTGTCTGTACATCCCACCACCTTTGTCAGCTTTAAATACATGGTTTAGTGTTCCATCTGCACCCATGCAGATTGACATTAATCAGACCTTCTGTTAATCAGGCTCTGTGAAGATTGACTTCAAGCCATGGGTTTGAATCCTGTTAAGGTGGAGAACAGAATGAGCAGTAATAATGTTTAGCATTAGAATTTTGCTCTGTAGATGTGGTGTGCATTTTATTTAAAGCCTATAAGAGAATTATGGGAAAATTTGTAGCTGGGGAAGAACTCTATGAAATCATAACTTGTTCCCTGTCTGGATGACAACATTGGCAGCATTACGCTAGCAGTGGGCTTTAGCAAAAGCTAGTCCTATAGTTTGGTCTAAGAATTGTAGCCTTCATGGCATTTGAGTGTTTAACATGTTCATCACTGCTAAATATGGACATATGTTTTGGATTGATACAGGAATAAAAATATAGACAGCCAGAACTACCATCACAGTTCCTTTTGTCAAATATCCAGTTATTTGTTATGTACTTTTCTGAGTTAATATTTTCAAAACAAATATTACAGTTAAACTGCTTCAATAACTTTTTATGGTTTCAAAGTATCTATAAAATGCGTATCAATTGTAAAGTATTTATTTACAGTTGCGTATAGTTATTTGTTATTAGCACCTTTTTTGTTTAAAAAATCAACCAGCAATAGATTATATTTCAAATATGTGTCTTGGCAAAACTGCATTGTTTAAAAACAATGAACATCAATCACTACAACAACCTTTAAGCTGTTCCTAGCTAATAAGTCTATAACAGTGAATTCAGTAAGTCTTTAACATCATACAGTTAATCATTTTAAAACAGCAGTAATGCCTACACATTCTGTCACTTCAGCCATTAAAATAAAGCCTATTTTTAAATTCTTTTTAAAACAATGGCTTTTATTTAATGGCATTTGGAAATCCATAGCAGTATTTACTCACTGATTTGTCATAATGTTATTACTTCTGCCCTTCCATTTTCTCTGTGCCCATGGATATTTCATCTAGTAACTGTGCTGATGTCATTGGCTCCAAAACTGCCTGATTCGGATGAAAACAAGGCTGGATCCCTTGATCTGCCGATGGAGCAGCAAGAGGCAGCAAGTTCTGAATTTCGAAAAGCTTCGCCAGCTGTTCGCAAGATACCTCCTTTGGCTTTGCCATTTCCTAAAAATCCTAGTCAGACTATCATCTCATTTCCTAGATCACCCAGTTTTCTAAGTCCCATGAAGTCCCCAAGCCAGTATTTTCAAATCTGCTATTAAGTTAATATTTCTTTACCTGGAAACTTCACTTATAACATCACCAACTCTAGAGTATTTCTGGTGTTAAATATTTATTCAGTGTCAGCAGAGTTCTGTTTATAATTCTGTTGTATGTTTCCCATTGTTTCTCTGTGTTATCTTTGTTGCTGTTCCTGTTTTAAAGTCTGATTTTTGCATGTAGATCAGCATAGTACATCCTTCTTACTAACTGCCTGTCTTTATTGTATTTCCATTGTATCTCTAACAATATACAGTACATGAAGTGTAAAGCTCATCTTTACACTAAGATGCAGTGAATGTTGACAGCTATAGAAGCTGGTACTTAGATTTGTAAATAATGACTTGAAATAAATAAAATAATTTTAATTGGATTTCGGTGTTAATTGTAATCTTTGGGGTTTCTTTATCAGTTGGGTGCAACAATAAGATAAGTACTTCTTTCAAAAAAAATTATGATGTCTTTTTCTAGTATACAGACTTCATTATATGTTTTGTTTTGGTTATTGAGTTCCTGGACGTATCTAAAGAGATGTAAAACACAAGGAGTGTGTGTGTTACTGGTGGTATCCAGCTTTTGTTGCTGGGAAGAAAGTCGATTCGCCCCAAAGCAACTTTAAGATGTTAATGAAATTTTTAAAAATAGAAGTTTGGAAGGAAGAGAAATTGAATATTTAACTGATACTATGTGTGTAATTCTTTATATCTAACCTTTTTATAGAGGAAGGATATGTAAAAATGTTTCTCCGTGGACGTCCTGTTACTATGTACATGCCCAAAGATCAAGTGGAATCTTATAATTTGGAAGCAAAAGCAGAACTGCCAGCCAGGAGGCTTAAATTGGAATGGGTGTATCCTTTTTATAATGATTGCCATGTTAAACTAGAAGCTACTTATATCTCATGTGCTGTTTTTAAAATGTATCTTTGAAGGCTGTTAAGTAATACATGCCTCTAGATTTTTAGGAAGTAGTATAATTTCACCAACGAAACAATCAAATGAATATTAATGATTTCAAACTTTTGCTCCAGATCTGTATGCTATTAAGCAGTTCCAGTATGGTTTCAAGTGAATGTAGCCTGGAGGTTTATATCTAAAACCAGTTAATTAACAGTTCACTTGTTTGAGATATAAACAATGATGCTGAGTTACATTCAGTATATTTGTGGCGTAGTGTGTTTTGGTGTAATATTGCTTCTGTAGTTACCAGGTAACTGTGGTACAGAAGGAAAAATGACCAGGATCTAAAATTCTGACAGCTTCTGATCTGCAAGGTGTGAACAACAAGAATTCCTGGACCATGAGAAAAAGGGATCATGTCTCACACAGAATTCCTGTGTGTAGTAGTAATCAGAGGTTAGAATATGTGTTTTGAGTGTTTCCGCATTTTAATTTGATTTAACAAAAGGCCTGGTCAAAGAAATTAAGAGCTTTTATGTAATGAACAACAGTCATGCTGATATGTGGTTGTTTGTATGGTTTTCCCCTGGCTTGGAATAGAGTCTTCTTCATTTTGGTCAGGTTGATGGCTGCTTTTTCTGTAGATGACAGTCAGATAAGGGAACAGTGAAGATGGCTAGTCCTTTCCCATATTCTGATCTATTGTTGATGCCAGCAAAACGAGAGCTGTAGTCAGGCCTTCTTTAAACAACAGTTCTAACACCTCTTCCCCCAAGCAGAATGTGGCCTCTAGTTCCTAAGGAGGCAAAGAATTGATGCCTCTGCCCGGTCACAGAAGATTCATTCAGGAGTGGCAATGACTCCTGCTGCTGCAGTGCCACAGAATATTTACTAGAGATGGCAGCTTTGTTTTTGTCTCCAAGGGCAGATGAATACGAAGCTTGCCACCACAGATGGGCAAGCTTGCCACCGATTGGACCCTCCCCCCAACCAGGTGGCCACTTACCACTTGTAGCGTGGCATGCGGGGCCGTCATCCTTCATGCCGTGCCAATTGCAGAAGTAGCCCAGCTGGGACTTCCCCATATCGCTGCACTGCTGACCAATCCAACGAGGGGGTGAGATGACCAGCCTCCCTGCTCAGTTGCTGATTGGTCAGCAGTGCAGGGTCCGATTGGACCCTCCCCCCAACCAGGTGGCCACTTACCACTTGTAGCGTGGCATGCGGGGCCGTCATCCTTCATGCCGTGCCAATTGCAGAAGTAGCCCAGCTGGGACTTCCCCATATCGCTGCACTGCTGACCAATCCAACGAGGGGGTGAGATGACCAGCCTCCCTGCTCAGTTGCTGATTGGTCAGCAGTGCAGGGTGGTGGGAAAACCCTAGGTGGCCTGCTTCCGCGATTGGCACAGTGCAAAGGACAATGACCATGTATGCCATGCCGCAAGAAGTAAGTGGATACTCGGTTCGGGGGGGGGAGGTCCAATCTGACTGACCACCTGTGGTAATGAATTCCGTATTCATCTCCCCTGGGAGGTGAATACGAATCCACCTGTGGTGGTGAGTTCCGTAGTCATCTCCCCTGGGAGGTGAATACGAAGCTCCCATCTCTAATGTGTACTTATAAAGGAGGAGGCATAGCAGGAGGAGAACAGAATATGGCTGCTTGCGGGGTGTTGAGAAGAAATTGGAGATGAAGCTGACTGCTTCTTCCTCTCCCTGGTGACTTTCTCCTGCTTCTAGCAGCCCTTCACCACTCACTAGTGTTAGGTGCCAAGGCTGCCAGGAGCATGAAGATGAAGTATATAAGATAGATGGTAGACATTTGGAGAGGATTTTCAAGAGAAAGGAAGCTTTGAACACACAGTAAGGATTTCTTTGGTAAATAGCCTTTCTATCTCTGTCTCTCTCTGTGTGTCTCTCTCCAGTAACTTCAAGTTAATGTAAATATTGATACAGTTAAATCTAATATATGTGTATTGACTTACTATCCTTTATATACATTTACTTGCAGGAGCACTTACCTCCACATCCACTAATTGCCCAATTCCGCCTCTACCTGGGTGACAGCTCCCTCAGGACCCTGGAGCAGGTGTTGATCATTTTCTGGATCAATTACTGTATGCTCTCCACATGGGGCTTCCCTTGAGGATGGTCTGGAGACTCCAGCCAGTCCAGAGTGCAGTGACTAGACTGGTGGTTGGAGCAAGCACATACGATTGCATCACTCCAGTTCTGGCTCACCTCCACTGGTTACCCATGGAGTCCCGGATCAGGTTCAAGGTTTTAACTCTCATGTACAAAGCCCTCCATGGTTTGGGCCCATGTTACTTGTCAGAGTATCTTGCACCAGTGTCTACTGCCGGACCCACCAAGTCATTGCAGATGAGGCTTCTCTGGGTAGCCACCCCAAGGGAGACTTATAAATCTTCTATGAGAGTTAGGATCTGTTAGTGACACAACAGTTCACATAAAATATGCATAAAAGAATTGATATGAGAAAACCATAGACGATCTGACCATATAAAAACAGAGGGTGGAATCAGCTCCTGGAGGAGGTTTGCCTAGGTTGCTCCCTGGCAACATTTAAGAGGCAATTGAAGACATGGCTCTTCCGGGGGGGGGGGGGCTTCCACTCGGACTCTAGTTGAGTTGAGGTACTCTTACTGTCCAGTTATTTGTTATCTGTATTTTTGTTATTATTTTTTTGTCTTACGCAGTTTTATTAATGTTCTGGCACCCTCTGTTTTGATATGGTTAGATGGTCTATGGTTTTCTCATATCAATTCTTTTATGCATATTTTATATGAACTGTTGTGTCACTAACAGGTGTGATATATTAAATTGAAATAGCAAATAATATTTTTGGAAAATGCATCCTTTCTTCATTAGATGCTTTCCCTATTTTACTTTTTGTTTTCTTTCATTTTTACGTTGTTAAAAGTTGTGCAAATTAAGGACGGAGGCAGTGGCCAAAGACAGACTTCTGCTCAGAGTCATGTCTGATTATTCCTATACAGTAGTATGTTGGTTTGTGAAATGACCAATCCTACGATGCTCTACGCGATGTTACGTAGTACAAAAATTTCGCAAACCGAAATGCCAGTTGCGCTACAAAAGGGGCGGCGCTATAGGCACAGTGTGCCCTGGGAAAGCCCTTTCGTAGTGCAAAAAAGAAAAGAAAAAATAACGTAAGCCGTAAACCGACAATTACGTAAACTGAGGCGTTCGCAAACCAATGTACTACTATAGTCGCAAAAAGAGGAGTCTGCAGTCATTTTCAAATGGCTTCTCCTTGCCCATTTTCAAAATGTGGAAATGTAATATGGAAAGCAGCTGTAATTTAAGCACCTAGGTTTTTAATTGGTTTGATCCTATTTCGTACAGATTAGAACAAAAGATGAACACAGACAGATCAGTTTATCTTTGCCTGTCTTAATGAGGCAGCATATATAACAAGCAGTTCTGTAACATCATGTTTAATATTAGGATAACATTATTGCAGACTAAATAATACAATTTTGCATATAGATAACTCTCATGAGTCAATTAGATCTGCTCAGGATTTGCATTGTGGCAGCAAAATGAAATTCTGGCTCATTATTTTCATGAAACAAAAAAAGAGCACAGTGCAATCCTTCTGCAGTCTTGTTTGCATCTGGCTAGTTAACACTGGGATAATGAAAGCAATCATCCTGAACTAGAGATAATGAAATCAATCATAGTAGAATGAGACAGAGGGATATATTGGCTGACCTACCAGAGGTCTTTTCTAGCCAGATGTTACTTTTATTTGTTTTAACTAGCTCACTTTAAATACTGTTTTTGTATTTCTTTAGTTTTCCTCTGCATATTTAAATTGGTTCAAGATAATATTGACAAATCTTTACAATAGGCAGCATACAGGGAAGGAGGAGCAAACTGCACATTTGAAAGCACTGAAATAGACATATATCCACCATTGTTTCAGTTCTGGAGATGAGAGTATGTTTACAGCAGACCTGGGCAAAGTGCAACCCGAGGGCAACATACGGCCTGCGAGCCGCTCCTGTCCGGCCCGCGGACAGTTTTGAACATCAAAACCATTTATAGCTTTTTGTCTAATGTTGATCAGTTGCTTATCTTTAACATATCGCAAAAAACCTCTTTAGTATTTGTGAAGATTAACAAGTCTAAAATAGAAACAACCATAACATCACTGTTTCATTTTATTTTTAAGTAAAGTTGGTTCGGCCCCCGAACACAGTTCAGATTTTTCATGTGGCCCTCTATAGAAATTAATTGCCCACCCCTGGTTTACAGCCTACCAATGTTTTCCTCCTCCTTCACCTCTTGGCATGTCCTCTTGTTTGGATCAATGGAGCTGAGAGTAATACAGAGAATAGCAGCAGAATACTCCATGCCCATTCTGCTTCCTTTTGGGTAGATCTGTTGAGTGGGAAGGTTCTAGTTTTCACTTGAAATGGGGGCCTTCCTTGTTGGCAGTTCTGCACATCTGCTAACTTAAGAGAGGAAAAGGAGATGAAGCTCAGATTCTCCTTTCTCCATGTGCCAGGTGAAGCCTAACACAGCCAGTAATGTGAACTCTGCTTCACATGGGGGTCAGAGTCCTCCCAGCTATCAGACTTTCTACATGCATTGATAGACTGCAGGGAAGGTATTCCTTCCCTGCAGGTATTCAGAATATATTCACAGTCTGGAAGTGCAACTGCAGTCAACAGCTCTACTCAGGATATGGTAAAATAATAGCAGTTTTCCTTAGAAACAAGTGGACAAGCACTTCCAAAAGTTTGGGACCTTACAGTGTGTATTATACGGGTCCAGTGTTTCATGTTAAATCTCATCTTTAAGTTTGCACTGTTACATCTTAACAAAGACTCTAGATACGGCTATAGGGGTCGAGACTGTCGCAGTAACCTGTACCTCCTACCAACGGGTGAAACTGTATATTTCATTGCATCTGTCGTGGTATTATACAATGTGGAAGAGCAGTTGCAGAGACATTACACTGGTCATAATGATGATGTGAAGTGGTAAGCTTTAGGACCAGCGGATTATTTTAAAACCAGTCAGGATGAAATGATTAACACATCTGCCTCTAAGGCATAAGAGCAAGGCCAGTGCCATGTTTCAGAGCCTTGAACAAAGTGTCCTCGTGTCCTGCCATGGAGTCGGTACAAATTCTCCTTTAAGTATTGGGTATATTCCCATTGATATTGGAGAAGACAGAAAGTGCAGTGGGTTTTGAATTTTTTACAATCACTTTGTGAACCATATTTGTATGTTGTTTTAACAAAGGTCCTCCCATCTCTTTTTTTCTTTTGCAGCCTAGCTGTCCATCCTGACAGGATCACCATAGCAACTGGTCAGGTTGCAGGAACATCTAAGGATGGGAAGGTATGTGAACCTATTATTCATACCCAGAATGTTGTTCCATAGCACTGTGACTGTTTTCCCATTTGCTAATGTTATCTTTTACATTAAAGTTGAGCACTATTCTTCAAATTAAATTCCATGGTTGTATATTCCCATGCTTATATGATGTGAATAACCAGAAATCTAATGACATGTAAGGGTCAGAAGAATTGTAAGATGACAGCTGATCATAGTAGAAATATATAAGGAAAGCTAAGATAAATGTATTCTTGAAGGCTTTCATGGCTGGGATCCGATGGTTGTTGTAGGTTTTTCGGGCAGTTTGGCCGTGCTCTGGAGGTTTTTCTTCCTAACATTTCACCAGTCTCTGTGGCCAACATCTGCAGAGGACAGGAGTTCTAGTATATGGCATAAGGAGCAGAACTGGTTCTAAGAAAGACATGAGCATATTAAGGGGAAAATAATAAAGAAAATATTGCTAGTTTGTATGTTTCTTTAAAAAAACCCCATGTACTTTAATTTCCTGGCATTAGGGAAAATAATAAAGGAACTATTCCTAGTTTGTATGTTTTTTTAAAAAATGTACTGTACTTTAATTTCCTGGCATAAGTGTCATCATTTGATGGTAACAAAATTTACAGTGGTGCCTCACTTAATGATTTTAATTGGTTCCAAAAAATTCATCGCTATGGGAAAACATTGCTAAGCGAAACACGGTTTCCCATAGAAATGCATTGAAAATCGGATAATCCGTTCCAATGGGAACGGATTGCCGTCCTTAAGCGAAAATCGCCATAGGAAACAACAACAGATTTAAAAAGAGTTGGAACATAGGTTTCAATGCATCTCAATGGGGAAAAAAATTACAACAGATTTAAAAAGAGTTGGAACAAAGTCAAATTAGTTTAACAAAGGGTTTATTAAGTGCACTTATGATTTCAAGCATTCTAAACATTTTTAAACATTTTAAACATATAAAAAACAGCCAACATGAGGCTGTCAAAACCATCATTAAGCGAAACAGGGGGACCCAAACTGTCATCGATATGAGAAGCATGGTCCCAAACATCGCTATGTGAAAATCGCCCATAGGGAACATCGTTAAATGGAGCGCAAGATCGCTCCGAAAAAGCCATCGCTAAGCAAATTCGTCGTTAAACGAAGCGCTTGTTAAGCGAGGCACCACTGTATTTCCATTGACATTTAGAACAAAATAGAGCAAATACGTGCAGGTAACATGGCTGAAGAAGGAAGCAGGAAAACAAATGCATGAAGACTAAGAAACTCCTAGTAAAATTAGCTAATTGCTTGCCAATATGATCCATTTTTTGGAACTTTGCTTTAATACCTTATTAATGACTTTCAAGTACAAAAGTCTGGCTGTAATTTTCTTAGCTGTTTGGGCATAAACTAGAGTCTTGCATACCAAAATCTTAAGTCTAAAAACATCCCAAAAATAACATCTGTATTTAATAGATGAAATAATGACATTACTGGCTATTCCTTCTAGTATTCATAAACACTTTTCATGATTATTTTGCTTATAGATAAGCCATTGCTTTTTACTAAACAATAAATATCAACATTTTTCTGCCATTCTGTTGTGCAGTTTGTTTCCGGAGATTGCACTCTAGTGGTTTTGAGAATTCATTGCAATATATCTAACCCTCTCAGACCATATCACTTGCTGTCGAAGAAAAGGAGAATGCAAATTGGACTTGAAGTTCATTAATAATGAAGTTCATTAATAATTTGGAACTTCTGGAAATCGTGGTTAAGAAGGGTCAGTTTTTTAAATATGTATTCTGCCACTTCAGGCTGTTTACACCATCTTACGTTTGCAATTCATTGTAGCAATAAGCCATAATGCTAGGCAAGCATTTTTATAGACCTTGGCATTATTTATATACTGCTTAATACAGTCTGCAATTCCTGCCCTGACTTCTGTCAAACCATGTCCTCCACCCACAAATGTGGGAATACTTTAGGAGTTTGAATATGAGCTATTTGATTTCCACATCCTAGATTAATGTGCAAATTGGTATAAACCAGGTTTTTTTTTTACTTCTCTATATATGGTGATAAGTTCTTTATTTAAAATGTTGTCAAAATATATTTTAAGATATATTTTTAGAAATAGTACATTTAGAAATGAGTATGTTGAAGACTTGCATTTTAAAATACCATTTGCCCAGTGTAGTGCATGCACTAAGGGTATATTAAACAAACAAACAAATAAATGTCATGCAGATTTTTTAAAAGCAGGATAGAATGGACCTATGGATAAATACATGAAAAAGTGATATGAATCAGAAATAGAATGATCTATCTGTTTCTAAATGCTTCAGTTATTCTTACAGCCGTGAGGCTGACAGTACAGTCTCATAGATAATGCCTTGATGTAGGTAGGGTGTGGACTTCCACTAGACTTGTCTCTGATCCCCAAACAATCCAGTTCACTTTTTTTCTTCCCTTGAGTTGTCAGTTCTCATCTGCTTCATTAGTTTGTCCTGGAGTAGCAGAGGAGGTAGATATTAGAGGAAGTAGTTCCCGTTTTTTTAAATTTTATCCAGATCAAGATGGGTGTCAGGACTGAACCTTTCAACCAATAGTCTGTGTTCTTCTGGGTCCAGCCATTCTTAGCAATATGCAGAACTCTGTTTGCTATCAAATGGGGTGGTGGCAAAAAGTGCAATCTGCCAGCCGTGTTGCAGCTTTCACATTTCTGTCCCTTCTCTTATAATTCAGCATCGAATTAGATTATATGTTCAAATGTTTTTAGAAGTGGTGTTCATTCCTGTGTGTACTGGGGTAGACGTTAAGGTGTATTAGTGATGTATAATTTGATTTGCTTCATAACTTTTTGCTTCAAATTTTTAAAGTTTTTTTTCTTTTGGGGGGGAATTGTCAGGGAAAAGTTTAAAATCTGTCTTTACTAAAAAGCCTAAGCTAGTTTTTTTTAAAAAAAGCTCTTGTATAAATTACAAAGCAAACAGTCCACAAAAACTTTAAACCTCACCCTCAGTATAAAGCAGATTCCTATACCAATTCTATTCATGGAGGAGAGAGAGTTGTTATTAAATCCTGCCTCTTATTACAGTGGTGCCTCACTAGATGACTACCTTGCAAAACGGTTAATTCGCAAAACGATGGTTTTTTGTGATCACTATAGCGCTTTGCAAAACGGTTTTCCCTATGGACAATTTTCACTAGATGATGTTTTGGTCCGTGCTGCGCAAGACAGTTTTTTTGGGGATGGTTTTTCACAAGACGACGATTTTGACAGCTGGTTCCGCGCTTCGCAAAACGGTTTTTTTAGGACGTTTTTTCGCAAGACAGCAATTTTGACAGCTTCGCAAAATGGTTTTGCTATGGGCGATTTTCACAAGACGACAATTTTTCCCCCATTGGAACACATTAAATAGATTTCAATGCATTCCAATGGGGAACCACATTTCACAAGACTATGTTTTCGCAAGACAGCGATTTTTGCGGAACGAATTAACATCATCTTGCGAGACATCACTGTATTTATATCTTAAATAGAATATTAAATATTTCTTAAGGAGACCAGTCCCTGGGGCCGGACCATCCACTGACCCGTCCGCTGCTACAGAACAGTCGTTCTGGAGCTTATGGTCAACTAGCTACTGGTCAGCTTTGCAAGGAGGCTAGTCTTCCCTCCTTCTGCCAGGAGTGGCTAGTCAACTGCGAGCTCCAGAGCGATTGGAAGGAAGTGCGGAGCCGGAAACAAGCAACGGACAGGTGAATGGGATGGTCTGGCCCCAGGGAGCTGGACCCTCATTATGTCCACCTATGCAGGGGTATTTATATACAAATACCCCCATCTCTAGATAGAACTGAACCTCTTCTGTTACATGTTTTTATTTCAATACATTGGAAATGGTGTATCTTCCACTAGCACATTAGTGGAAGATGTACTTTTAGATATTTTCCTATGCTCTCGTCTTCCACTAGCACATTAGTGATGGTGACTGAAATGTACTTTTAGATATTTTCCTATGCTCTCATGATGCTCAGATTTCCACACCCACATCTAACTGCACCTTTTTAAACTTTCAACAGCAACTACTGCCCCATGTTCGCATTTGGGATTCTGTTACTCTGAATACGCTACATGTCATTGGGATGGGATTCTTTGACAGGGCTGTCACCTGCATTGCATTCTCCAAATCAGTAAGTAATGGTTTAATATGTTGTTGATATGCTTTGTGTACCTCTGGTCAGCAAGGGCATGCTTTAAAATTTTTTTGAGAACAAGCAAACTCGTTAGGAAAACCTCCTGTTTAAGTAAACACAGTCTTGTGTGACTTCACTTCATGAGCGTGGGGATTAGATGTTACCGCTGGATTGCACCAATGAATATTTTATGTGATCCTAGTAAACCTCTGTAATCAATCTTCAATGAAATCTTGTTTTTCATTAAGAACATTCTGAACAGCAAAGCTGTTCTTTGCTTGTTACAGATGTGTCTGTTCTGATACATGGAGAAAAGTCTTCACTTCAAGGCCAGATTATCAATGATGGGCCAGCTGTGTCTATTTTCTTCATATGTCTGCCCTGCTGACGTATAAAGCATGGAGTTTCATATTTTTAAATGAAGTAGAGTGAATGCAGGCAATGAGTCCCTCCGTCTTCTCTCTCCAACTTTATCTTAGGTATTACAGATAGTCTGCAGTTAAAGCTAATAGGACATGAGTATGGTAGTGACTTTGAAATATCATACTTCAAGGGAACCCCATGCCTAAGTATTAAAAATAAATTAAAAAGCAAAACAAATTATGTGTATGGCATGTTATTTAAGGTGAAAAAAGTTCTTGGTGTGCTTTCTGATGCTTTTAAAAATTAAGAAGTTCTGTCTTCTAATAACAGGTTATCTGCTACATCTGTTTCTGCTTTCACTGTGCTCCGTTGCTCCAAACAATTTAATTCAAGTTCAGAATGATTTCCAATATCAGACTGTGCTGGGAGAAATTTGCTGGAAGCAACTAAATACATTCCAGTCAAACTAAAATTAGACCAAATTCCAATCCCACAGTTGGATATCTGAATAATATATTGGTAGTTGCTCTGTTATATCTCATTTGGCTCCATCTCTTTTGAGTTTCATTGCTTCTTATATTAAAAAAAAAAAAGATTCCAGAACACTCTAGGTTCAAAATCATAGTTGGGTAATCAGTTATCTCAAATATTTCACTGAGAAAATATCCGTCATATTTAATCACTTTACAGTGTTTAATATTTCATGCTTTGTTTCAGAATGGAGGGAGTAACCTTTGTTCCGTGGATGACTCCAATGACCATGTCCTCTCGGTTTGGGACTGGCAAAGAGAAGAAAAGCTTGCAGATGTAAAGGTATTTTGTGATGTGATTGTGTGTCTGCCACTTTAAAATCACAGGGGTTTGTTGTTGTCATAAAGTATTTCATCATTCAAATCTTTTAAGCCTGCTGCTGCTATACTGTGCTCTGTTATATAATTTCATTCTTAAAATAGGTGTTTCAGTATAAATGCAAGAGTCGTGCCTCTTCCTTGTGAATTACCTTGTATATATTGAATGGAAGAGTGTCAAGAGGTAAAAGGCTCTTAGTGCAGCTACTGCTACTAGCTGAATTATTAAACCATTTTTTCAAGTCACACCATTGACACTATAGGATACAGATTGCCCAGTAACAATCACACAGAGAGAGAGAGAGAGAGAGAGAATCACACTGGTCTTCTAATTGAACAATGTGCATGTATATCAGTAGCTATACACATATCTGTATCCATGTAAATAAAGTATTTAAAGCGTTTCCTTAACTGATTGTTTCACCAAAGTTATTTTTGTTTATAAATAGAACATTCAAGGAGACCTTCTAAAGTATTTGTATAGATAAAAATTTTTAGCTTGAAGGGATCCAAGGCTTATATCTTTGTTTTAACTTAAATACAAAATCCATGCTATACCTAACATGCTTCTACGACATGCATTACTATTCTTAGTATCTTTCAGAGTTGTCTGTGGCAATTACATCATTCTTGTGGCTTTGCTGTAAATGTTAATATCCTTTTCTCCTTCTAGTGCTCTAACGAAGCAGTGTTTGCAGCTGATTTTCACCCTACAGACACAAATATAATTGTTACGTGTGGAAAATCACATCTTTATTTTTGGACACTTGAAGGGAGTTCTCTGATTAAAAAGCAGGGATTATTTGAGGTAAAAATTGTTTATATCTTTCTTTGTTTGACTTTTCTTATCACTAGTATATATACTGAGAAATCTGCAGTAAAAAAGAAATACTGGTTTGTCCCTAGCTTGGAAAATCTTTTTCAGCTTGGGAGGCAAATTCCAATTTGGGAATGGTCTTACAGATTTCACTGCATTCGAGCAGGCAACAGGAGGAAGGATGTGAGGTGGCTGTAATTTGTTTCCAACTTATTTTTACGGAACTTCAATTCAGTCCTATGCATGTCTGTTCAGAAATTAGTTCCAGAACAATATTTTTCCGGCATGCAACACATGACTCAGTTGTATGCAACAGTTTCCTGAGTTGCAAGGCACATTTTGGCTCCGTGCAACACCTTCCTGGATAGTAAATTATCTCACTTTAATGACTAATCTAGCATAACAGAAGAAGAAGATTGTAGGCAGGGTGGGGACCCCCACAGCCCAGTATCAGGGCTGCAGATCAGGTGCTCACCGTTTGAAGTTCAAATTAATATATTAACTTCAGCCTCCTCTTTCCAGATGCTGCTTTTTAAAATTCCATTGCCACCTTAGATTGCCATGTTGAAGCGACCTCTGAGGCTAGAACTGGAGAAATTTCTAAATTAAGGTTCAATCCTTTGCACATAGCGACCATTTAACTGTAGTGTATTTTGAGCAGTTACTACGGCACTCCTGCCCTCCTCACCCTCCGTAGCAATGACAGAGAGCTTTGATGGATTTGGCCACAGACTCTGCCATTAACTGCAACAGGCCTGGAAATGGATGGAAACTGATTTTTTCCCCTTCCCGCCCCCATAGAAAAAAAGAATTAGCCATATAGGTACTTCTGATTTTGATTTGCAGAGTTTTTTGGGATGGGGTTGCAACATCTTGAAGGGACCCCATTTTCTAGAGAGTTGGAATAGGATTCTGGAGGCCTGGGTTCAAATCCCTGCTTAGTCACAGAAACTCAGTGGAAGTGGCACTGGTAAAATATCTCAACTTGAAAACCCTAGTAGTGTTGCTGTAAATTGGGTAGGACTTGGCATAACATGTACATGTTTTTCTACTATTACATGAAGTTGTTCAGTAATACTGATGAATATCCTAAATCTCTTATTGTGCAGAAACAAGAAAAGCCAAAGTTTGTCTTGTGTGTGACGTTTTCTGAAAATGGAGATACTATCACAGGAGACTCAAGTGGAAATATCTTAGTGTGGGGAAAAGGTGAGAGAATCAGTTTATGAAACAGAAAAGGACTGCATATTGTATTGATAGGCAAATTCTTCTCTGTTATAGAAAAGATAAAACTCATACACACAATAATTGCACTTAATTGATCCTGGTGCCTCCTGTATATCCTTATGAATGGCCTCAAAGAGAATCATTTCCAAGATATTTTGTGTTAGACTTAAGTGCTTTTCTAATTTTACTGAAAGAGACTAAAGTAGAGTTGATCTAGAGTTAGCTGAGGGAGGTGATGCTTTTTATGAGTACTTTTGTCAATGGTTATTACTAATGGCACAGGACCCAAAGAGAAGCAAAAAGCTTAGCCTTTCTGAGTATCAGCAGCAAGCATAGCTTTGACTCTGAACTGGCCTTGAGGAGTGCTTATCAAGGCAATTTTAGTTGGCTGTGTGATGCAAGAATATTAATGTCTTAGGTACATGTTTCCTGATTGGCTGGGAATGTATAGCTAGTAAGTAGGAAGTGTCAGAAGGAGAGACAGAAAGACACAGAAATAACTGGGAAAGGATGTCAAGAAACATTTCAACACCCTGAAACTTCACTTTTCATGCAAAAGATATTTGGTTGCTGTGGGTTTTTCGGGCTTCTTGGCCGTGTTCTGAAAGTGGTTCTTCCTAATGTTTCGCCAGTCTCTGTGGCCGGCATCTTCAGAGGACAGCAAACTGTGCCCGAAAAACCCACAACAACCATTAGATCCCGGCCGTGAAAGCCTTCGCGAATACAAAAGATATTTGTTTGCAAAATGTTTGGTGCCATTGTAGACTACAGCAGCATGAGCTTTGTATCTTACAACATTAAATTAATAGAAATACAATTCAGCAATCAAAGTGCAAAGTAGGTTCCATAGGAGTATACAGAACTGACACGATGATTTCATCCACAGTATCTGCTGGCTAACGTAACATGCACATACAGAGTGCTTCCAGATGAACAGCTCCCGGTTCTACCATTCAAAACAAATTGTCCATGATCCTGTCAGTCCTTTTGGTCACAGCCTCTTAGAAAATCTCAAGGGGTGGCAGGTCCCCATACAAATTATGTGCACTTTCAATACTTAATCCAGAAGGCTGGGAAACCTTCTGGATCATAATTTTGAGAACTGCAGAAGGAGTAGTGAAAGAAGAGCATCTCATTGCAGGCTCAGCAGAGGAAGGCAATTGCTGCCTGTGAAATCTGCTGTCAGGCTTCTTTCATCACTAATAGGATGCAGTAGGATCCTGACTAGAGTGCAGCTCTCCCGTCTTTCGTTCCTTAACAGATTTCCCCTAATAAGAAAATAGATAAAATAAAACTGGAAAAAATGGAGGTTATCATATAGAAGATTACATTGTTTGCTCACATATAAAATTCCGTAAAAGAGACAAGGTAGTTGCACAGTAAACATATCATCTGGTAAAACAGTAATCTGAAATGAAAAATTTGTTTCATTGACCAATCTTATTTTAATAAAAATAGAAGTAATAGAATTATCAAATATATATTTAAAATAAATTCTTTTCCCTCCATATGTAGGTACCAACAGAATAAGCTCTGTAGTTCAAGGTGCCCATGAAGGTGGCATTTTTGCACTTTGTATGCTGCGAGATGGAACACTTGTATCTGGAGGTGGAAAAGACAGAAAGTTAATCTCTTGGAATGGAAATTACCAAAAAGTTCACAAAACTGAGGTGATGTCACTAACCTTTAAAAACTGATCTGTTTGTAATTTTGTTTCATAAGCAATTGATCTGCTTTGCAACTTAAGCACTCAAAGGACTCCTTCCTTTATTACTTCCAAAAGGTAATCAGAAAGGTTATGAAATACATATGATACATCTGTTTTGAAGAGAGTATATTAAACACTTTGGAATTCATCATAGAAGTTGATCCAGCATATTCCACTGCTTTGACATTCTATTTTTTCACCATACACTTATATTTGAGAAAGAGGCCCTGAGACAAAATGCTTGTTGACATATGACAGTACAGTGCAAGATCTTGTACAAGAGGAAGCACCTTAAACCAAAGTTTTTGGAAATTTAAGAAGCAGTTAAATGTGTTTGAAAATCATAGTGTACATGTAGAGCTCAGAGCATGGTTACATTAGTTGCCATATTTTTCCATGTATGAGATGCCTCCTTTTTTACCCTAAAATTAAGAAATCAGTATTTTAAACATAAAATAGCACATTTTATTTAGTAATTAGATAATATTTACATACCAGTACTGTCATCTTATGCATCATACTTAGCTTTGAGCATATCGCTTTATTCAGCTTCTGGGCTCAGAACGCTCAGACATTACCATCCCTGCTGCATCTGAGCACTGCCTACATGCTCCTCCTCCAAGGAGGTGTGTTCCAATTGGTTTGTTTAGCATCTGCTGACATCAGTTACATAAGCCTCGTGATTGGAGGTAGCTAAGCCTCGTGATTGAAGGAAGTCTGTTTGCAGAGGCAAGGTATGGGCAGTTTTGCAATTGCGCAGTTCACGCCTCAGCTTATCTTCGTGTATAAGACGATGCTCAATTTTTAGTCTAAAGATTTTAGACAAAAGTATCATCTTATACATGGAAAAATACAGTAAATCTGGTTTTGCATTGGGTTTAGTGTGTTTTAGCTTGATTTTTAAAAGATGACTATATGATGCATGTGGAAGCATGGTTTTGTTAGAGAATCAGGGCTTTTAAAAACTTTTTTGAAGTGAAATATGATCAAATTTAAATGTATATGACCATATACATTTATAAATTTAGATGTATACTGGGTGCTGCATTTTGCACTTGCTACAGCTTCTGAACTGCCTTCACCACACAGAGAGCATTGTAATAGCCAATCCTCGAGATTACCAACACATGAACCAATGTTATTAGGGATCTCCTGTTGAGAAAGGTGTGGAGATGTGCAATCTGCTGGAAAAGGCATTTTTGACCATGGCCAAATTTAGTTTTCCTAATTTTTTAAGGGAAAATATGAGGAATGCAGAACTTGGAATGGTTACTTTTTTAGACTTCAGTTCCCAGAAGCCCCATTGTTGTCTCTGCTGTTCTCTTAGCTATAGTCCAAAACAGTAACTCTGGGGAAAATAATATGCAAAATATACATGGTAGTGAAAATAATAATGTTGGAGACATTGTTTGCCTGATGCTCATATGAGGAAGGATGTATACAAAAAGGTACATATTAACAAGAAAGATGCATGAAAATGTATAGATTTCATGTGGACATTTTTAAAAAAAGCTAACACTGATGTGGGATTGGAGCAAGAGAACTTTAAGGATTAAAAAACAGAGGATCCAGGTAGGCAGATTGATCAGTTTCGGTGCAGAAAAAGAAACTGCAGTTTCTCTCAACATCAGTCTTAATCATCGCTGTAGAAAGTGTACACTTGAGAAACACTGTGTGCAAGCTTAATTAATTAATTCACTTGTTAATTCTAAAAATAGATTCCAGAGCAATATGGACCCATAAGAACAATAGCAGAAGGGAAAGGTGACATTGTGTTGATAGGCACTACTCGGAACTTTGTTCTACAAGGCTCCCTCTCAGGGGACTTTTCTCCCATTACGCAGGTAATTATTTCTTTGTGTGCATTCTATTTTTATGATTTTTTTCCTTGCAAAAGAAATAGTTTAATATTTTAAAAAAACATCTGAATGGTGACAGGTTTCTGAAACAACAGAATGATCTTCCACACACAGCTGAGAGTAGGAATTTTCAGGAATTATTTATTAAATAATAAGTAAATTTATTAAATAAAAAGCAAAAAAGCAAAGTGTGCTGCTTATATACTGCCCCATAGCACTTTAAAGTGGTTTACAAGTTAATTATGCAGGCTACACATTGCCCCC